CTCTGGGATGTAGCACCACATGGAAATTACATCCCTGCTGGAAAAACATTTCTTTTCCATGGTCAACTAACAACTAAACTCTTTCTCCACTTTCCAAAGCATGGCACTCACACAAGTCTAAATCAACCTTTTCTTTGGTCATTCTAACTCAGTGCAAGGCTGACTTGAGCTCAATCATTATAACAATGCTTATCCTTACTTAACCTAACTTCTGGCCCAAGAAAAAGAAAACACATATACCATAACCATGCTTAATGACCCTCCAATGATGAGGTACAGACTTTTCTTTGGTAGTTCCAACTCTGCACAAGGCTAACTTGAGCTCACTCTTTATAACAATGCTTAATACTTACTTACCCTAACTCCTGGATAAAAAAGGAAAACAGACATATCCAAGAGACATTGGGTTTTATTGCAGTTTATATTTTAAAAAAAACAAAAAAAAACAATAAATGACCTGGAGTAGAAACCCAAATTTTTGTGTGCTTCTTCTTTAGTTGTTTACATATGTTCTCACACCCATCTAAAATAGATGCCAACATACAACCTTTAAATTCCATACCCTCTGGAATCAGAGATGCGAGATCAATTCTCACCAGATTGGCAACTAGGTCCCACACTTTTACTGTTGAAATAGCATCTGCTACTCCTACTCCAAGAGGTTCTTTGCTTGCACTTCCCACCTGTGAAACTCTCTTCCATTTCCTTGCTTCCCTGATAACTACATACTTCAAAAGTTTAAATGCAATGTCAATCACTATGTTCTGTGTTCATGAACCCCATTCATCTTTTCTCATTTTCTCAATCTATTCTCAGTCTTCTCTTTCAATTTCACTCACTGTCACCCCTTGCTTACAAGTGGCATTACTTGCCTTGCTTTGAGTGAAATGATTTTTTTTTTTAAATTCTTTGAAACTTTGAGCCATCTTTGATTTTTTACCATCCCTCTTTGTACACACTTTGAAAGAATATGGCATTAAAAATGCTGAAAAATACATTCAACTATCCACTATGGTCATGGTAATATTAGCCGTTTCCCTATAAGGAGACATTTGTCAATCATTGACCAAGCAGCCACTACTGTTTTCAGTTGAAATTTATAAAATCTTTCTTTTAGAACACTTTTTTAAGGAAAACAGGTTTCTCGAGTCCAGTAGCTGTTATCACTCTTTCTAGTATTAATTGGAGTTTCTTTTTGAACCTTCAGTCTGAAGAGACGTGGAATGTCATATTTTCTCTTCAATTTAGATTGAGTGCTATCCATTTTAGTTGTTACTGCTGTTGGTAGTCCTCAAGCGATGTGGTTTCTGTTATTTGTGATTATTTAGTGCCAATCCACAATGTTTACACTCTCAAAGCTTTTTATTTATTTATATATCTATATCCCTCATTCCCTTCATATTCCATTAGTAAGAAAGATGTTCCACTTGAACAGAATCTTCTCATGAAGTGTTACATCAAAGCAGCTGCCAAGATGATGCTTTCCTGATCACTACAATCTTAACCTCTTGAAGTTTAGGGTTATATCAGTTAGGCTCTCTACACTGGATAACAGTCATCAATATTAATCAATTAGCCAATTATATATTAATTAAAGGAGATTGACCAGCATTGAACATGCTAGATTTACAAATTTAGCCTGCTTAGATAAATACATTTATATGTACCAAAGAATATTGTATATGAAGTTTGAATTCTGAATAACATCTCTACGTCAGGGATGGAGCGGTTCTAGAAACATTCGCTGTAAACATTTTTGCTAGGCCAGAGCGTACAACGGCCGAAACGTTGCCATAAAGCTTGTTGCTACTCTATCCCTATTTCTTTGGAAAATGTTCTGACCATTTACATTCCTTCAACTTCATCAATTCATACTATTACAACTAAGAGAATACATGGCATTTCTATCATGAAAATATTAATCAGTTATGAATTGAACAATGCAGAAGAATTCTTTTTATCTTGGAGCAAATGAAAGTGACCTACCTTTCTCACCTATGAGATCCATATAGGCAGCAGGATTTGTAGATTTTGGTTGTAAGTAATCATCCTCATCTACTGGTAGGTGTCGAGATGATTGGAATGCTGATGGTATGGGGTTCAGTTTGTTTGTACCATTGATAGACAAATTGTTTGGGTCCAAATCTGACAAATCATCTGCAAAGTTGGAAGCGCATGCCAATATTTTAGAATTTGTTCAGAAAAGTATAAAAGAGGCTGTACAGATATGAAGAAATGAAAAAGAGAATGTGCAAAGACTAAGAAGGAAAAAGGAGGGTGCAAATATATAAAGATGCAAAAATGAGGGTGTAACGACATAAAGAAAAAGGGTAAGTACAAAAATAAATGAAGAAGGTCAGTTTGAATACATAAAGATGCAAAACTGAGGAGGTAACTACATAACAAATATGAAAGAATGTGTAAGGACAAAAAGAAAGAAAAAATGGGTGTAAGGACAAAAAATGGTTGGAGCAACATAGGGGATGAAAATGGAGGGTGCAAAGAAACAAAGAAGGAAAAAGGAGGGTGTAAGTCTATAAAGATGAATAAAAGATGTAAAAATACAATGATGGAGAAAAGTTGGATAAGAACAAAGAGAAAGCAAAAGAGGTTGTAAGGACTTAACGAAAAAAAAGTGGGTATGTCGATATGAAGAAGTAAAAATAAAAGGAGCATTTACAGACAAAAAAGACAATGTTGTAAATTAAAAAAATATTTCAATTGGTTATAATTCAATTTTGAATTTTTTTTTATTTTATTTTTCAGATGATAACCTCCAGGAGATTAACTTGTTGCACCTTTTTTAGTGTCACTTTTTTCCACTGACATGAAGTGGAGTGATTATAGTGAACGAATTACTAGATCTTCTGATAGGAAACTTGGTTCAATTTGCACATTTATAAATCCAGCATTTCATCATATGTTGAATATTCCTACCATATCTGATCTGGTGCTCCTGTAATATATCTTGATATCATTATGTATCTTAAAAATTTCAACTGTTCTTTTCTGATCCTTAAGTAAAAGTCTTTTTTGCCTTCATTTTTCCTAAAACTACCTCATTGCTCGCATATTCAGTCCATGGTATTCTCAGTTCAAATTCAGTGTTGTCCTTTGCCTGGACTGGTTGTTTAAAAGCCCAGTTTATTTAACCCATAATATAACATTAATAAAAAAAATTACTTGCTGGACTTATAACAAAGGAATTAAATTAAACAACTGAAATTAAATACAATAATGAAAAATGTATTTACCTCTTTCTTTTGAATATTTGATAGGATCTGTGCTATATCTGGAGCTAACACTGTCCTCTCGACCCCTGCTTGGTGCCATCTGCCTTTGCTGCCTTGCTGCAGCAGCTGATTCAAGATGACCGTACCGTTTCTCACGGCGCCGATGTTCAGTGTCCAACTCCTTTTCTGTTACACAGTCTGTCTGAAACAATTCACCAGCATAGCCGACCAATGAACCCTGCTGTTAAGTAGAATTACAAAAGAAAAACAAGTTAAATATAACATAAAAAGAGCCAGGTTTAATGTCAGTTGATTATTAACATAACAAGAACTCAAGGAGTTTTCACATCAATAATCCTTTTATCATTATGAACATTAACACAGTTATAGGAATTAGTGTGATTTTGTCAAGGGGACATACAAAAGAAATTTTATATATTCATGAACGAAATGCTTTTGTAGATTGTGCAACAGCATTTGATCAGGTTTGGCACAAGGACATGTTTTAACTGCAGTAGTAGGCAAAGTTTAATAAATAAAATAAGAATATTTCTTAAATCTGCTGAAAAGGATATGCTTAACATCTCATTACCTTAACACCAACATACTTTAAGACAAGTCAACCAGCTAACTTCATTTCTGAAAGCAGATACTTGGATAAGCAAAACCAACATATCAGAGACCCCGTACCAAAGCAAATAACAATCCTACTTGCACTCACCAAACTTCCCAACCATTTACTAACCTCAGTATAAACCCAGAAAAAAAGGGCTTCATAGTCAGTTCTATCTACTCTTTCGCCAGAAAGTGGAACAGGCTGATCAACACCTTGAACTACCAAAGAACTAATCAGGACAAGTGCTTCTACAAAGAAGTCTCTCTCTCTCTCTCTCTCTCTCTCTCTCTCTCTCTCTCTATCTATCTATCTATCTCTTTCTCTCTCTGTTCCAATTTACTATGAGCTATGAACACTGTCTCACAATTAGAATATGGGTTTATATTTTTATTCATAAAAAAGAAAATAAATCTTCCAAAATAAAATTTGATAATCGTTCTTTGATTTTGAATGTAAAAACAAACATTCTGCACTATCCTTCACTGAACTTCTTCAAAAACTTTATTCATTTTAGAAGCATGTTAGAATAAAACCAGAACAAACTACTTGCTTATGGTAATGAAGGTGTCTAAATGGAACTTCATTTTTACCAGTGGCATAGAGACAGAATGAGGAGGGTTCACCCCCTGTATACATAGCATGGTGAGTCTTAGTTTTAAAGGTTTGAACTGGTGGAATGTAGCTGACTAGAAGACTTTCCACTGAAATAACAATACTTTTGTGCCATTGCATCTGCGGGAAATGGATTGTAGGGTAGAAAGTAATTCATTGAGCTCATCTGAACATTTCCTTGTGAATTAACAATAAAGTAGTGATATCCTTGTGTTGTTCCATCTGTGGAAAAAAAAAGGAAAAGTGTGAAGCTATCATTGCTTCATTTTTTAGAACAATGTTCACCCAGTACAAGATTCAAGAGCAAGTCAAGACAGAGGATCACAGATTAAGAGACACTGTTTCTGGGGATATGTGGAGAAGATAACAGTTGACCCTACACTTGAACAGACCAAGGGATCAAGGGAACATCCTCTTAGGAATTGGTTACACAAAGAAGTAGTTCATTGGGAAAAGCTGCTCAAGAGGAACTTACATCTCACAAATGGAATACAGTGAGAATGAGGAATGGTTTGCTCTATGTGTCATATGGTGCATCTTACCCATAAACTAGAACTAGTGGAGCTAAGGAATGTAGTTTGTCTGAGCACATTCCATAAAAATAGCGATAGATTAGCAAGAGGCTTGCAGTGTGTCTGCCGTCAGATGAAATAATCATGTGTACATGAATTTATAGTTTTAAATCAACTGAGGGACTGATAATTGAAATATTGTTGTTTACTGGTTTTCCCAAGCTTCAGAGGCATATTATGACATACATTGTGACATATATGAGCACAAACTATGACATATTGTAATGTATATGAGCACAAACTACGACAAACTATGACATATGACATATATTGTGATGTATATAAGCACAAACTATGACATATTATAACATATATTGTGATGTATATAATCACAAACTATGATATATTGTGACATATATAAGCACAAACTATAACATATTATGACATATATTGTGATGTATATAAGCACAAACTATGATGGATATTGTGACATATATGAGCACAAATTATGACATATTGTAATGTATATGATGACAAACTATGACATATGACATATATTGTGATGTATATAAGCACAAACTATAACATATTGTGACATATATTGTGACATATATAAACATAAACTATGAGATATGGCATATATTGTGACATATATAAGCACAGACTATGACATATTATGACATATATTGTGATGTATATAAGCACAAACTATGATGTATATTGTGACATATATGAGCACAAATTATGGCATATTGTAATGTATATCAGCACAAACTATGACAAACTATGACATATGACATATATTGTGATGTATATAAGCACAAACTATAACATATATTGTGACATATATAAACATAAACTATGGTATATGACATATATTGTGGTGTATATAAGCACAAATAAATTATGATTGTGATGTATATAATCACAAACGTATATATTGTGATGTATATAATCACAAACTATGATATATTATGACGTATATTGTGATGTATATAATATTGATATATTGTGGGCGTATATTGTGATGTATAATCACAAACTATGATATATTATGATTGTATATATAATTAAAACTATGATATATATATATTGTGATGTATATAATCACAAACTATGATATATTGTGGCGTATATGATGTATATAATTATGACATATATTGTGGTGTATATAAGCACAAACTATGACATATTGTGACGTATATTGTGATGTATATAATCACAAACTATGATATATTGTGACGTATATTGTGATGTATATAATCACAAACTATGATATATTGTGACGTATATTGTGATGTATATAATCACAAACTATGATATATTGTGACGTATATTGTGATGTATATAATCACAAACTAACCTTAGGATCTTCATTGTTATTATCAGCAGCATCCTCTTCCTCAGGTGCTTGTGCTGACTGGGGCATCAAATAATCCTCAGCTTCTACAATCTTCTCAGGTACATCTGTACCTCCAATTAGATTATGGAACAAATCTTGTTTGTCATATGTTGTATTTGGCAATCGCATCAGCTTGTCGCCCTAAGTATAGAAAGGAAAAAAAGAAAAAAATTACATGAAAAAAATGTGCTAAATTAGAATGCTTGAAAGCAAAACCATGACATACACAATCATGGCTCTCCTTGGTAATTTTTTTTAATATATATAATTTTCCATGATTTCTTGCGAAATACAGTGAAGACATTTCTGCTTGCCTTTCCCAAGGTTTGAGTTCAAAGTTTTGCTTCTCATAGACTCCTTATCCCAGGAATTTAGACAGAAATTAATTAAAATGAACTAACCAAACTTGCTGTTTTTTTGTTTTTTTTTATTTTTCACTTATTTCATTTATTGTGCAGCTTTAAGAAAATACAATTAAACAAAGTATTTTGACATATCCAAATAATTACATAATTATTTTCAGCTGCATTTGATTTCTTTGGAGCAATGTGATATTGTTGTGGCCTTGTTAGGGCGAGAAATAAAGATACAAAAAGAGGAATTGAGTTAAATATATTAACAGAAACAGTAATACAAACATATACAAACGAGAGTGTTACAGCAAGAATGTTTGGTCCGACTGTCAGAGCTGACTGCTGGAAACTTCCCTCTCCAAAAGGTAGTACCTGCTCCTGTTTATAGCTGGGAGAGTCCATGTATGCATGGGTAAATTACCATAACAGAAATTTTGATGACAAAAGGCTGAAGAGTCCACACTCTACCATGTTATTTAACCCATAGATAGGGGAAGAAGAAATGGGTTCATGTCTTTTCTGGTAGTACAGCAATTATCAGCATGGAAAGTGAAATAGCAAGCTGAGTTAAAATAATCAGCCTAGTCTGCTGTATTCAGTTTTGCACTAATGACCCTGGAAAAAGCCATGACCTTTGATTGCATTGCAGTTATTAGTGCAGAACAATTGACTTACCAATGAAGCAGCCACTTCATAACAATGGATTTTAGTTCATCATGGTTTAAACAAAATCTATACACTCTTGAAACTGATTCATGTCAGAACAATTTTCCAAACCATATTATATATTTAATATTTTATTCAATTTTTAAAAAAATTTAAACAATGTTTTTACAAAGTAGTGTAGAATATCAACAACTTGACTATGTCATTATTTTCTCTTCAATTACATGTGTTATGCATTTTAGTAGCTGTAACATTGATAGCCCTTAAATGATATGGTTTCTGTTATTTGGTACAATTCTCTTTTGGGAATGTGTAACACCAGTCAATAATATTCAAAGAAGGATTATCTTTGCCAAGACACTTAGGCTTTATTCATTCAAATCTATTTTTCACCATTGTTCTGAGAAAGCAGTTACATACATCTAATAGTTTAGATATTCTGAACAGGTTTAATTCCATGCATGACATCTATATAAAAGTCTCAATCTGACAAGGCTATGTAAGAACAAGACTCAAGTTTTCAGACTGATATTTTAGTTTTGTAGTAATTCGTATTGTTGGGCAAAAGTAACTTTGGCAGTTTATTCTATGTTCAATTTCCTTATTTATCCTATATTAAGTTGTTATAACTGATCCATATGCTGAAGTACTTGAAGTGTTTAGTATTTACTAATTCCACATCCTGAGTTTTTTGTGATGAATTCAGGACATGTACCATAACTGATTTCATTCCAATTCCAGATCATAGTTTCTGTTTTGGAAATATTTATTTTGACTTCTAATGGCACTGACGAGAGAAAAGAAGAAAAAAAAACGAATTCTCAAAATACTCACTTCAATTACCAGGTATCGTCCGGGGTCACGAGACATTTTGGCAAATTCACCTGCCAATTCTTTAAAGGATGGACGGCTGTCAGCATCCAGCATCCAACCTAAAAGACAAAATAGATGGCAGTTCTTTACCATTATTTTAAAAATAAATGAATTCTTTTCACCATTTGGCATTATAAATCTACTTAACTCTTTAGCATTCAACCTGCCCAAACCCACCCCATAAACATCGGCTCCCAATGTTCAACTTGCTGTAACCCACCCCTGCATACTCTGCCATAATGCAGGGTCTGATTGAAAAGTATCAGGACTGTTTCTATACTAACAGAGCTAAAGTACTCAGAGTGAAGCCACTTGACACAGACTGACATTCCGCTGTCATGAACACACACACTAAGTTACAATGTTCCCTTTTACTTCCATTGTTTAGAGCAGTGCTTGTGAAGGAAGCTGTAGAGTGTCATCATCTCACCATACGACAGAGATTTCCTCAGTGAACATGGTTTGTACAGCAGTTTTGGGCCAAGTACATTTGCAGGGTCTGGCAACCACCATATTCCGCAGATCTCACCTCTTGTGAATTTTTCCACTTTCCAAAAATCAAATCCCACTTGATAGGAAGAAGATTTCAAGATGCTGAAGAAATCCAAGAAAATGCAATGAGACAGGCGATTCCTATCCAAACAAAAGAGTTCCAGGAAAGATTCCATCAATGGAAATTATGCAGGATAAAAATGAGCAGCTTCAGAAGGGGACTACTTTGAAGGATATTAAATGCTAAATTGATATGTGTTTTAGTTTTCTTTTTATAGTACCAGTCCCGATACTTTTTGATCAGACCTTATATATGACAACATTATCGCAAATAATGAAGGATGTCATGAGACTTTGAGATTCAATATTTATGGAATGGATTTGAGCATGTTAAGTGCCAAAGGGTTAAATGATGAGTGTGTTGAATGCTACAATCTTACTTATTATAAAACGCAGATTGTGTGTGTGTGTGTGTGTCTGTACGTTTATATATTGGATTGGATTTCCTACATTTTTCAACCGATTTCAACAAAACTTCACAGGACTACATAAAATTACCTTGCAGTGGTTCTGACAGTGCCAAAAATTGGAAATACACAATTGTTTTTGCTTGAAATCAATTTGAAAACACAATAAAACATGATTCTGTCGCCAGAATGAAAGGGGGAAACTCATATCGAGTTATACTCATAAAACCCAGGTTGTTTGTGTTATATGGGATCGGATTTCCTACATTTTTCAACCGATTTCAATAAAACTTCACTTTTTTTTGGCAGGTAGTGTTTCTTATTGTCTTGCACACTTTTTTCTTTATTTTTACATTCAGAATGCTTTAAAAATTCAATTTACAAGACAATTGTTTATAATAAAATTCTATTCAATCGATAGACTCATAACGATTGAAAACAATGTTTTTTTGAGTTTGGGTTTGACCAATTCGTAAAAGAACCCCAAAAAACAAAAAAAAAAAATAATTAAGACATGCATGTCTGTCAACCTTAAACAATAATCTTTGTCAATTTTATTTTTCAGTCTTTATGATGGTTGATACTTGATCTATCTCTTACTGTTACATCCCTGGGCAACACCGGGCTCTACTGCTAGTGTTAAATAAATCTTATGTAAAATATATCTTATTGTTAGACTTTAAAAATAACTGAAAGAACTTATTTTGGATACATTAAGTTAGGATATGCTTCTTTTATGTGTCTAAATACGCATGATGCTAGCTCACTATAATCTTTTGTTCTTTGTTAGAGGATGGAAAATGGAAGACTGAAATCCAAACACACATTGGACTAGAGAATGATGTATTCCAAAAGATAATTCTTGAAGTTATATTAAAGTAGATGCATATGTAAAACTATATTCTGGTTGAAAACACAACCAACCTAAACTATAGCTTTTGTGTTTGAAACTGGGTATTGAGTCTGTTGAATTTCTATGTCCACCTCTTCAACATTTTCCGGAGTGGTTATAAGTTCAATTTTGCTACATGTTAAGCAAACAAAAAGACATTCTGTTTACAATGCAAGCATGGTTCATGTGTGCCATGTATGTCTGACTGTTGCATAAGTCATAATCTCTAGCATGATCAAGCTGCAATAATTCAAATGTATGTTCTTGGTATGAAACCAATAAGAAAATTAAAATTAAAGAGAATTAATTGCACTGATTTTATCGGCATTTTTTATTAAATGTTGAATATGGTTTTTTAAATTCTTCAAATGCTTGTTTGAGATGACTTTCAATCTCAAGGCTAGTAGACATTAATTTACTCTTTAAAAAAACAGCAGTAACATCAACTCAAACATTAATATGCACAAAAAATAACACTCATAATAATATTAAATAATATCAAAATAAATTCTTAAAAATACATTTTATATTGTGTTTAGATATTTCTTTTCCATTCTAGTTGTCATTGCATTAGTAGGTAGTTTCATATGTCTAGTCTTATCAAGGTTGTTTGTGTTATAATCTTTTTCTATTTTTGTAGATTTTGTAAGCTTTACTCTTAGCATTATATATATGAAATAATTACAATATTGGAGGAGTTTAAAGGAATTTCCAATGTATTTTTCTTCATGTGAGTACTGATGGCTACAAATTCTAAATGGGCTTAAGTAAAAAATTATAATTATTTCAGATTTTATTTTGTTATTATGGCATAAATAGAAGTTTATGAAATTATTTTTGTTTATGGATTTGGGGGAGATTTTGTGTTGCTGTAGTGTGAGTAGAAATTATGAAATCTTTTCTTAACATTGAAAAAAGTGAAGGAAACTTACATTTAATCATAATCATATACACATCGATTGTGCACATACTTGGTTGTGGGAGACGTTCTCCTTTCTCCAAAAGATCAGGGACATGGGGAGCTCTTACCGATTCATATGGTCGCTGACCATAAGTAAACAGTTCCCAGACAGTAACTCCTAAAATAGACAAAACAAAAGCAAATCATATTTATTTCAATATCAGCAGTATTAAGTTATAAAGAATCATAGCTAGAGTGAAAATATGAACATGTATTTAAAAAGCTTTTGTAGAAACAATAAACAATTGCAAATCTCAGTAGCCACAAATCCGAAGTGTAAAAAAAACGAGCAGTCGCAAATTTGAGTGGTTACCTCAAAATCATAAGCACCAGTGGCTCTAATATATAAAACGATATATTCACTTGCTAAAAAAGAATTGGCAAAGCAATGATTTGAATTGGAATAAAACCTAAGCAAATGATGAAAGTGAATTTATAGATTTTTTGTTCTTGAGAATGAAAACAAAAATGTTAAACACTATTTATTTATTGTACTGTATATTTACAAGAATAATTTTATATTTACAACATTCTAAAAACAAATACAATAAGAACTAATGCAATGCAATATTTATCATTTACTAATTTATAAATAAATAAATATGTAAACCATATTTTATTCATAAATTTATAAACATTTACTAAATTATTAAAATATATGAACCAACTATAAGGAAATACTTATTACCATTTTATAAATTTTTTTAAATCAATTGGTAATTAGTCGATGTTTTGCCAAGCATTCCAATGAAAAATTTAATAGAGTGTAAATAATCAATTTACTAAATAAATATTATTTATTATTTTTGTTGTCAATTTGCAAGAATGAAAGAGGATGTATAAATTCACTTTTGTATGTTTAGGTTTTATTACAATACTAATCATTGTTTTTAAAACAATAAACATTGCTGAGGAGTAAGAGTGAAAGTAGTTAAAAAAAACTGATATTATGGGAAAAATCATCCTTTTGACATTCTTATTGTATGCATGTTTTTCTATGTTTGCCAAAGAATTATTGTTCCAATCCAAAATATGTTTCAACTTTAAATAACTAACATAAGTGTTGATAAACCATAAAAAAAAAGAAATCAATGGCTAGTGTTGTAAGAAGAACAATAAAAAAGAATGATTTCAGTAGTCTGAAACACTTTCAAAAGATAATGATCCATTGGGGACAAACAAATTTTTCGGCATTCCTGTTAGCAACACAATTCTTTTACAGTTTGTTTATAAACACAATTCTCCATGATTTTCTCTCTCATTAAAAACTTTAAATCGACCTTGCCAATCCTAATAATTCAATGTTTTTAAACACTTTTCTCCATCGGGCTATAAACAGACGGTTCTGTATATAATGATCTATGTTTTGAATATTATCATCAATGTGAGTAGTTTAAAATTTCTTACCATAACTCCATACATCACTTTTGTGGGTAAAAATTCGGTGCTGTATGCATTCAAGAGCCAACCACTTGATGGGCATCTAGTCAAAAAAGAGAGAAAATAAACAGTGCTTCAAAAATTAATACATGTTTTTTTTTTGGGTAGGGGTTCTTCTGCCTGATGGCTGCATTGTTTCTGCAAAACATTTGATGTCTAAATCTCAGAACAATTTCAAGAAACCAATACTTTAATCAAATGGTTACTACACCAGAGTCAAGTTGCCAACCAGATCTTCTCAAATGCTTGTACTAAAGCACATGGATTGAGGACCATTACTATAAACTATTATGATTGAAAACAATTTTTTTATTCATAGATTTATAAATATTTACTGAATTATTAAAATATTTGAAAACTTTTAGCAAGAAAATAAATACAGCTTTATTCAACTTAGAATGAAACATATTCAATTGGACTTACTTAATTACAGGATATGTATAAGGGGAAATAATCCATACTACATTCTCCCCACTGGTTATAGTGATTTTCCAAGTGCAGCTTAGATGTAGTACAATGCCAAAAGTATTGGGCACCCAATGAGGATCGAACTCACTACTCAGTTGTAATTGTTCTAGAGAGAAAAGCTTGACAGCCATTACACTGCCTCGAAGTGCCCAAAATATAATGATTTTCCAAGTGTAGCTTAGATGTGGCACAGGGCCAAAAGTATTAGGCAACCAGTGAGGATCGAACTCACTTCTCAATTGTAATTGTTCTAGAGAGACAAGCTGGCTAACCATTACATCACCTAGAAGTGCCCTCTCCCTGCTGGTTACATGTAGGGGACTAGGTCTCCTGCGGGTCCTTTGAGGATTGTGTAGTGGCTCGCAGTCAACAGCCACCTCTGATATTGACCCATCTGAACTTGTTGTCCCAGGTTTGTCTTGCCTACTCAGCTTTGAAGTATAAACCTTCAACTTCAAAGTGTTTATGTATTGTTCAATATGTAAGCCAATCTTAGATGGTGGCATCTGTTTCAGAGTGGGTTTGCTCTTTAGGTGCTAACTCCTTATCAGAACTATAATCCTATGGTGACATTTGTATTGGTAATGATTCTAAGTCGAATAAATTGTAGTGAGAAGACGAATACAGTTGTAACTTAACTAAAGCTTTATTCAACTTAAAATAAAGCATGTTACATTGGACTTACTTAAATATGAAATATGTATAAAGGGGAGATAATCCATTCAGCACAACTATAAAGGATATTATTTACCATTTTATAAAGTTTGAAACCAATTGATGGAACAGATGTTTTCTCAAGCTAAGGCACACAGTTTGAAGACCACTGCCATAGACAGTTACTGTGGGATAATAACAGTGTTTCTGTCTGAATTTCTGGGATGAGAAGTTATCATTATTTAGATTATTTACAGTTGGACAACCTTTGTTTTTGCTATCAATGTTTTGGCCATTGTACACTCTGGCTGTCATGAGGTGCAGATTCATCTGGGTAACCAAAAGAGAATTTCAAACTGAACACTTTATTTAATCTATGGGGTCAGACTGTTCACATTCCACTGCCTATGTCTAGGGATATTTCATCTAGTTCTTATTTTAGTACTGTTCAGTTATTGCTTGCCTTGTTTCAACTGAGTCTAAATACACAACTGCCTCATTCAGGGATTGAACTTAAAATTACTATGTCGCAAAATTAATTCTTCAAGACCTACAAACCTATATGGCTCTCAGTTTGTAGATCTTGAGAATTGAAAGCTGCTGTTTTAGAGCTCTCATGAAATAAAAATTATTACCTATGGGATTTTAAATGTTTGATATTCTTTAATAAATAATGTGTGTGTATATATATATATATATATATATATATATATATATATATATATATATATGTATATATATATATATATATATATATATATATATATATATATAGAGAGAGAGAGAGAGAAAGAGAGTTTAGATTTATTTTTAGCCGACATTGTTATCATGGCCTGTAATAAAGTCACAGGAAAAAAGTCACAGCAGAAAGTCACAATTTGGGCTAGTCAAAAACACCATAAGAAGAAAAACCACAAAAGGTTACAATTTAATGGTGGCCGATTCACAGAAAAAAGTCACAGAAAATTTATTTAAGTACTATAAATAATTATAAGTGATAAAACAGAAAATATTTTAAATCAGATTTTAACTCACAATACATGACTTGTACATATTGATGTATGAAGGCATTACTAGCACCGGATTTTCTCTGCATAGCAAGAAGTTATTCAATGTTCTAATAAATATACCTACTTATGGTTTTAAGAAATATATAAATATATCTTATTTCAAACATTATTATAGTGGACAATTTGTGTTGGAAATTAACAGATTTATTTCAATCTGATATTTTGATTACTGCAAATGTTATTTTTAATGCAAAATTCATGTTTGAACTAGATGCTACATTTTTATTTATTAAACAATTATTGTAACACATCTATCAGCCTATCAAATGACTTAAGCTTAAGACATATATATATATATATATATATATATATATATGTATATATATATATATATATATATATATATATATATATATATATATATATATATATATATATCAAATATATCAAATACTAATATTCCATAGTTTATAATTTATTACATTGGAATCATAATCACAATCCAATTCATCAGACCTGAACTGGATCGTGATTACAATTCCAATGTAATAAATTATAACCATGAATATTAATGTTTGTGTCTTTTATATTATATTCTTGTTCTGTCCTGGACATTTCAGCTCTACTGGATTCTATCCTCTTGAAATTTATACACATTTATTGACCACTAATATTATCTATCTATCTATCTATCTATCTATCTATCTATCTATCTATACATACATACATACATATACATATATATATATATATATATATATATATATTTATGTTTCTATTTAAGAGAAAGAACAAAAAGGGTGATAAGTAAAAATGTAAATTCTTTCTGATTTCAATTCATTTTTAAGAGAAAAAAGAAACAAATCGTGTAGACTTTACCTTGCCACCTGCAGCAATGTATTCTTCTTCATTGTAATCTAATAATTTGGCCAGTCCAAAGTCAGTTATTCTCACATGATTTGGGGTCTGCACTGAAATGTTGAAAAAATTAACGGAATGAAAAGCAAAGTCCAGTTTAGAAATAATAAATAATGTTTAAAGCTGAAACATATTATTGATTATAAGAATAATTCTTGGTTGACAAGTAAATATAGAATCAACAATTTTTCAAAAATAACAATGATTTCTTTCCAGATGCAAGTCCTACTTTTTAATCAATAACTTGGAGGAGAACTGGATTCATCTTTTTTCCTAAAGGAATTTGTGCATAAGTAAATGTAACAAACACAAATCAAATTTGAACTTGTCTCACTGATTTCTCATTCCAAGCTGCTAACCATTACACATGAATAACAGATAAAGGGTTGATAAACCTTAAATAATCAATCAATCACTGAAGTTAAATTGTATGGATGTATTTAGCATCTATCAAATAGATATATATTTAGTGTCTATCAAATACAAGGCAAGTGCATACTACACGCCCGCCCCCACCCAACACTGGGAGTTGACCTCAATGTCCACTTCTATATTTATATAAAGACACACACACACACACACACACACATACACACACACACACACATATATATATATATTGAGAGATAGGTAGATAATATTAGTGGTCAATAAATATATATATAAATTTCCATGAGGATAGAGTCCAGTAGTGCTTAATGTCCAGGACAGAGCAAGAATATAATATAAAAGACTCAAACAGTAATATTCCATGGTTATAATTTATCACATTGGAATTGTAATCACGATCCAATTCATCAGACTTACAAATTGAAAAAGAAATTGGAAAATATAACTCCAGTTACAATTCCAATGTAATAAATTATAATCATGGAATATTAGTGCTTGGCCTTTATATATATTCTTACTCTGTCCTGACATTGAGTTCTACATGGATTCTATCCTGAAAATTTATTATATATATATATATATATATATATATATATATATATATATATATATATATATATATGTATGTATATTGACCACTAATATTATCAATATATATATATATATATATATATATATATATATATATATATATATATATATATATATATATATATATATATATATATATATATATATATATATATATATATATATATATATATATATATATATATATATATATATATATATATATATATATATATATATATATAAATATATATAAATATATATATATATATATATATATATATATATATATATATATATATAGAGAGAGAGAGAGAGAGAGAGAGATATATAGATAGATATAGAATGAACCATCTGTTTTTTTTTTAGTGTTTATTTTTTCTTATAATTCTTCGAAAGGAAATTGCATATGAAATGGAAGTACACAATTGCTTACTCTTCCTAGATATCAAGCTAAACTATATTAACAACAGTTTAAAACTCGATGTCCACCCGAAATCAACCAACAAAAATGGCCTAATAAATTTCTATTCCCATCATACATTAATAACAACCAACGTAAACTGGGAAATCCTACTAAAGAAAAATTATATCTCTGACAATAATCAAACCTGAATCCTTTTTTTCTATCAGGAAAGCCACAAACACCAGTCTAACAGAACAAGTTTGGAAATATATATGTATAATATCTGTAGATATAGATATAGACAGAATTATTATTATTTTTATTCTATTTCATTTTATTATTATAAACAACTCTCTCTGCAATTGTCCACAAACAATTATGTGCAATTCACATAAGTTATATAAATTACTAAATGAAATGTAAGGGAGATAACCTACATTAAACGTAAGGGAGATAACCTACTTTAAAATAAGGGAGATAATTCATAGTAAATGTAAGAGAGATAACTGCTTAATAGCATTAATTCTGTTATTAGTTACAAGGAACAAATTAGCCAGGGTGGCCAATCTATGTATGACAAGGAAAACTGATTTAAAAAAGATATTTCATCCAAACCTGTTCTGACAACGCCTGTGACGATTCCAGTAAAAAGCAGTATAATTTCCTGCATTTCCCTTGAATATTGGTGATATTGACAGGTAAGTTGTACTACATGGTTATCTTTTGTTTTCTTTCTTTTTTTTATATTAATGTTCACCTAAGAGCCACTCAAGGTAGAGGTTCAATGTATGGTGTTGTATGAGCGTAATAAATGAAGTTTATGAGGTTAAGCAGACAAGATAACGGTTAATCCTAGGCTTGATCAAATCAAGATTGTAGTGTTTGAAAAACATCATCATGTTTCAACCTGCCTGTGGTTGGTCAGAGCTTCATTGACAATCCCTTTTCCCACTGTTCGGTCCTGTATTGTTGTCCCCAGATCCCCAATGTCCAACTCTGACTCCTGAGCTATAGTATCTGAGAAAATCAATTTTCATGAGAAGACATTTCCAGAATGATGTCATAGGAATAAAGATTGAGATGATTTCCCTGTCTGCTCAATGGCAGTGACTGGCAATCTCTAATCGTTTTTGCTTGAGCTTAAGAGAGATTGGTCTCAGTTCTCTATAAATTGTGTTAAGTATTTAATTGGAATTCCAACTGATGTTCTGAATTTTTCTAAGTAGATTTTATTTTTTTCTACTGGGTATCTATGTTCCACAAAACAGTAGTTCTTGGTAAGAAGCTGTCCATGCGCAACTTACTTCTTACTAATGGAATGCAAAGGGGATGGAGATGATTCCCCCTTATGTAGGTGACATAGTTAGGTCCTAGCTGCAAAGCTCAAGGCTGGTGTGACTAAGGAATGTAGCTTGTAAGAACACATGCCATGGAAATAGTGATAGAGCAACAAGACTAGAGGTAGGTTTGTGATATTTTGCCTGTCAGGTTGAAAATAATTCATCACTCAAAACTGCTTTTGAACTCAGTGATGATTGTGCAGCTCCAGCCAGATGGGGCAGTAATGCTCTGTTTTTGATTTGATCTGACTCTTCTAAAGGTAAAGTATGGCAAGTACTTTCTGTAATGGCATAAAAAACTGACTATTTCTCCATCATTTTTAGCATTTATGAGTTTGCCTCACCATATGACACCAAGGATGTGTTTTATCAATTTATTATTCACACACAATAATATACTACAAAAATGTTACATATAAAAGTTGCCATAATACTTACATAAAACATTTCGTGCTGCTAAATCCCTGTGGACAATTGCATGCTCCTCCAAATAAGCCATTCCCTAGAAAATCAAATGGAAATCTAAATAAACATTTTAACCACAATTTTACATTATAATCTTATGATAAGATTTGTCTGGGATCAAATATGGACCCATATATGATCACAATGCACTCTAATCTCATGTTAAAGATTTAATCTCTTCAGAAATAATCCAGTGATTCAAGTTCACAAATTGAATATAGCAGATATTTTAAAAACATTTCATCCCAAGCAAGGGATGATGATGCAAGGAGTTACTGACTGTATGATAAATAAAAGGAAAAGAAAACATTATTAATGAGAGAGAACAATTGAAGAACAGGAATTAAGAAGACAAAAGATAAGGATTGACATTACATTTAAATTTTTAAAGATCAAAGTTAACTGGAAAGCAAGAAGCTGGAAGAGAGTTCCACAAATGAGAAGTGTTAAAGAAAAACCTGTTATCATAGAACATAGTTTATTTGAACTACAATAATCCTTTTAACAGCAAGGTTATTATATAAACATTATTAAATAATCAGTGAAGAAACTACTATAGTAATGACTATAGAAAATACCTACTATAGAAAATATATGAAGTTTTATTATAAATTTTATATATTATAGATGATCAAAACTATTAGCATAGAACTTACAGTTTAATTGAACTACAATAGTCTTTCTTTTGACACCAAGGTTATGCAAATTAGTATTCATTTCTGACAATATTTTTCTTTCATTTTATTACTGCTGATTATTAATAAATGGACTGCAAATAAAGTATTGGCACTACTAAAATTAACTGTTCTACTTATTAAAAAACTGGGACAAATTTTGAGGGGGAGAGATTTTTTGAAGATAACATTTATTAGATTATCCTCTATCCACAATATTTGTCAAAATTAAAAAATATTATTTTTTTATAATTTTAGACATAGTGTCCACTTCATAATATAAATACAATGTAAAATCAATCCTAGAGTTCTTAAAGAGTTATCTATAACTTGGTTTTATTTACAACTTTCAATTTTGAAACTGTGTTTCCATCATTGATAGATGTGTATTACTGATGTTGTTGTTTTCCATTGAATTTATAATAGTACGCAGTCATCAATGACATAATTTTGTCTAGTTTATATTTGTTTCTATTTATCGTCACTTTTATTGAATATAAAAGAATAATAGAAGATTTAAACTTCTTTTCTACATCCTTTTTTTCTGATTCCTACTGTTTATTCAACATAGTCAAGCGAAGCATTGTGATAACAAGCAACAATAAAAAATGAAACTTGCTAAAAATTAAACTTAATAGTCATAGAATTAAAAACAATCTGAGTATTGTGATAATAAGCAACAATAAACAGATGAAAGTTAAACTAGCCAAAAATTAAATTAACTTTAATCATTGAATTAAAAACAATCTGAGTATTGTGATAATAAGCAACAATAAACAGATGAAAGTTAACTTAACCAAAAAATTAAATTTACTTTAATCATTGAATTAAAAACAATCTGAGTGATTGCAACAATAAACAGATGATAATAAGCAACAATAAACAGATGAAAGATTTAAACTAACCAAAATTAAATTTACTTTAATCACTGAATTAAAACAATCTGAGTATTTTGTGATAATAAGCAACAATAAACAGATGAAAGTTAAATAGCCAAAATTAAATTTACTTTAATCATTAGAATTAAAAACAATCTAGTATTGTGATAATAAGCCTTAATAAACAGATGAAAGTTAAACCTAACCAAAAATTAAATTTACTTTAAGAATTAAAAACAATCTAAGCATTATGATAATAAGCAACAATAAACAGATGAAAGTTAAACTAGCCAAAATTAAATTTACTTCATCATTGGTTTTACGATAATAAGCAACAATAAACGAATGAAATTAAAAACAATCATTGAAGTATTGTGATAATAAGCAACAATAAACAGATGAAAATTAAGCTAACCAAAAATTAAATTTACTTTAATCATTGAATTAAAACAATCTGAGTATTGTGATAACAGCAATAAACAGATGAAACAAAATTAAATTTATTAATCAGATTAAAAAAATCAGTATTGTGATAATAAGCAACAATGACAGATGAGAAGTTAAACTAGCCAAAATTAAATTTACTTTAATCATAGAATTAAAAACAATCTGAGTATTGGTAGCAAGCAACAATAAACAGATGAAAGTTCAAACTAGCCAAAATTAAAAATAATTAGGTAGCTTTAAAAGATTACAATCAGAAGTCACAAGCTGCAAACTTTTGTTATTACTAAACTAGCCAAAAATAGAGTCTAATTGGGTAGCTTTAAAAAACTGATACAAAAAGTATCTCTAGCTTTTTATTCTACTAATAGCCAAAAGCTTTAAATTAGGGTAGCTTTGATGATAATCAGAAGTCATCTTAAGCTGAAAAGCTTTGTTATTCTACTAAACTAGCCAAAAATAGAGTCTAATTAGGTATTTTAAAAAGACGTGATACAATCAGAAGTCATCTCTTAAGCTGCAAAGCTTTTGTTGATACTAAACTATTTGAAATAGAGTCTAATTAGGGCCTTTAAAGACGTGATGCAATCAGAGTCGTCTCTTAAGCTAGAAGCTTTTTGTTGTTCAACTAAACTAGCCAATGAATTAGGTAGGTCTTTAAAAAACGTGATACAATCAGGAAGTAACTTGCTGCAAAGCTTTTTGTTGTTCTACTAAACTGGCCAAAATAGAGTCTGAATTAGTAGCTTTAAAGTATTTGAAGAGTCTAATTAGGTAGCTTTAAAAAGACGTGATACAATCAGAAGTCATCTCTTAAGCTGCAAAGCTTTTGTTATTCTACTAAACTAGCCAAAAATAGAGTCTAATTAGGGTAGCTTAAAAAAGACGTGATACAATCAAGTCATCTCTTAAGCTGCAAAGCTTTTGTTATTCTACTAAACTAGCCAAAAATAGAGTCTAATTAGGGTAGCTTTAAAAAGACGTGATACAATCAGAAGTCATCTCTTAAGCTGCAAAGCTTTTGTTATTCTACTAAACTGTTATTCTACCAACCAGCCAAAAAAATAGAGTCTAATTAGGGTAGCTTTAAAAGACGTGATACAATCAGAAGTCATCTCTTAAGCTGCAAAGCTTTTTGTTATTCTACTAAAAGCAAAAAATAGAGCCTTTAAAAGAAAATCAAGTCAGTCTAATAAACTAGCCAAAAATAGAGCTTTAAAAGACGTGATACAATCAGAAGTCATCTCTTGTTGCAAAGCTTTGTTATTCTACTAAACTAGCCAAAAATAGAGTCTAATTAGGTAGCTTTAAAAAGACGTGATACAATCAGAAGTCATCTCTTAAGCTGCAAAAGCTTTTGTTATTCTACTAAACTAGCCAAAAATAGAGTCTAATTAGGGTAGCTTTAAAAGACGTGATACAATCAGAAGTCATCTCTTAAGCTGCAAAGCTTTGTTATTCTACTAAACTAGCCAAAAATAGAGTCTAATTAGGGTAGCTTTAAAAAAGACGTGATACAATCAGAAGTCATCTCTTAAGCTGCAAAGCTTTTTGTTATTCTACTAAACTAGCCAAAATAGAGTCTAATTAGGTAGCTTTAAAAGACGTGATACAATCAGAAGTCATCTCTTAAGCTGCAAAGCTTTTGTTATTCTACTAAACTAGCCAAAAATAGAGTCTAATTAGGTAGCTTTAAAAAGACGTGATACAATCAGAAGTCATCTCTCGTTTGCAAAGTTTTTGCCAAATTCTACTAAACTAGCCAAAAAAATAGAGTCTAATTAGGGTAGCTTTAAAAGACGTGATACAATCAGAAGTCATCTCTAAGCTGCAAAGCTTTTGTTATTCTACTAAACAAAAATAGAAAATTAGGGTAGTTTAATACGGGGTAGCTTTAAAAAAGACGTGAAACAATCAGATGTCATCTCTTAAAAAAGCTGCCAAAGTCATTTTGTTAGCTTTCTACTAAACTAGCCAAAATAGAGTCTAATTAGGGTAGCTTTAAAAAGACGTGATACAATCAGAAGTCTCTTAAAAGCTTTTTGTTATTCTACTAAATCAGCCAAAATAGATCTAATTAGGTAGCTTTAAAAGACGTGATAATCAGTCATTCTACTAAACTATTTTGTTATTCTACTAAACTAGCCAAAAATAGAGTCTAATTAGGTAGCTTTAAAAGACGTGATACAATCAGAAGTCATCTCTTAAGCTGCAAAGCTTTTGTTATTCTACTAAACTAGCCAAAAATAGAGTCTAATTAGGGTAGCTTTAAAAAGACGTGATACAATCAGAAGTCATCTCTTAAGCTGCAAAGCTTTTGTTATTCTACTAAACTAGCCAAAAATAGAGTCTAATTAGGGTAGCTTTAAAAAGACGTGATACAATCAGAAGTCATCTGTTAAGCTGCAAAGCTTTTGTTATTCTACTAAACTAGCCAAAAATAGAGTCTAATTAGGGTAGCTTTAAAAAGATACAATCAGAAGTCATCTGATGCAAACAATCAGCCAAAGTCATCTCTTAGGTTGCAAAGCTTTTGTTATTCTGTTGCAAAGCTTTTGTTATTCTACTAAACTAGCCAAAAATAGAGTCTAATTAGGGTAGCTTTAAAAAGACGTGATACAATCAGAAGTCATCTCTTAAGCTGCAAAGCTTTTTGTTATTCTACTAAACTAGCCAAAATAGAGTCTAATTAGGGTAGCTTTAAAAAGACGTGATACAATCAGAAGTCATCTCTTAAGCTGCAAAGGTTTTTGTTATTCTACTAAACTAGCCAAAAATAGAGTCTAATTAGGGTAGCTTTAAAAAGACGTGATACAATCAGAAGTCATCTCTTGCTGCAAAGCTTTTGTTATTCTACTAAACTAGCCAAAAATAGAGTCTAATTAGGGTAGCTTTTAAAAGACGTGATACAATCAGAAGTCATCTCTTAAGCTGCAAAGCTTTTGTTATTCTACTAAACTAGCCAAAAATAGAGTCTAATTAGGGTAGCTTTAAAAAGACGTGATACAATCAGAAGTCATCTCTGCAAAGCTTTTGCTAAA